AGTGGGGCTGCTGAGGGAAAGTCAGTCATTGGACAGGCAAAGAGCAGAAATGTCAGACTTCTGAGTAATATTGCTGTTCCTCACTCACCTGATCCACTCCTCCTTCATTTATCCTACTCTCACTGCAGATTGATCTCTTTTCTGATATTCTGAGTGATTTTTTTCAGAACAGCACATTAGCACACAGCATGGCCACATCCTGAGCACACACTGCTCCCTCGAGGTTTATTATGCTACCAATAAATAAATTACCTACCAATAAACACCCCTCAAACTCACAATTCTCTTTTAGATTGAAGATAATTAAACTTATGCATGAGTTACTAATTTCTGTGACTGGACTTTGGAATACACTGAGAAGGTAGAAGGCTGTGATCAGATGTGCACGCTAGGGCACTGCAGGATTTACTCTGAACTTCCTCTACAAAGATGATTCAAATATTATGGTAACCAAATTGTGGTCAAGAAATTGATAAAAACATGTGAAGATCCTCTCACAGACAGTGCAAACCATAATTTGAATATGCTATAAAGGGTGATATGGCTGTGCCTTGGGACTGCCTGCAATCAGCTATCACAAACAACTCACTGACACCAGCTTTAATAAACATTGCTTAAGACATTAACCAACATGAATTTTAATACAACTATTCACTGTGCAAATATGGGTTGGAACTGTTTCCATTTAATACTTGAAACAGGCTTAATTATCAGGATGTGAGGCTCTAAGAATGCCTCTGGTTGTGCTTCTGCACAAAGGGAGTGCCTCTGCCTGCTCCTTCTGATTACACACTGCTGGTACCCAGGAGATGGGAAAGAACTCATAAAATTGTTCATCTTGGCTGGGTTGGAAACACAGGGAGAAAGAAAGGGGGGGTGGAGGGATGCTCCTTCTCTGCAGAGCAGCAAGAGGTGACTGTTCACAGAAGTTGTCATGAGCTTTCACTGAACTACACAGTGACAGCAGTGAGTTTATCTATGTGTGGAAAAAAAATTAATACCTTTATAACTTCATTTAAGGACACAACCTGCTTTTCCCAATCCTTAGTCAGCTGATGATGGCAGTCTAAAGGGCTTCTCTGTCCCAACTTTTGTCTTGGTCATGTCTTGATTTCTCTCTTGGCAAGCCAATTTACCACAAATTCTGTGTATTTTCTTTAATCAGGCAAGAGGAACAGATCACAAGCCACTTTATTAAGGAAGTCAGGATAATTATTCTCAGAGGATAATTAAAAAGTAGGGACACATGAAGTAACTTGACCCAGTTCTCCTGGAGAACAGTGGCAGAGCTGGTGGGGCATGGCAGCTCCCAAGGGCCTCCATCCTTTTATCCTCCATCCCTGGAGAATCCCTGATGTCTCTAATGAGGCAGCTCAGGAATATTTTAACTGTGATGTCACTATCAGCTATGGCCATGAGATAAATCCCTAATCAAAGGAAGGAAACCCCAGGTGGGCACTGAGAGGGGATGAATCCACAGTGCCACATTCCAAAGCCAGCCCAGAGCTCACAGGTGAGCAGGGGCAGTGGGCACCACTGCCATGAATATTCCTGGCTACTGCCACACACCAGCAATAGAAAGTTCAATATTCACAAACCAAGACCCATAAATAACAACAAGAAGGGGGGAAGCAATTCTTACCCCCTGCCAAGATCCAGCTGTGATCTGACACACCTGGAAGCTGTTCCCAGAGGTACAGGGACACACTTGGAAAAGCCTCAAAGTCACTTTTCTCTGCTCTAACTTGCAGGCTACAAAGAGGAACGAGGATATTACACAGCATTGCAGAATCAATAGTTATTGTGGGAATCATTGGTTTGATGTCAAGGCCAATTAGCTGCAAGTGGAATTAGCACATACCCTGAGCGGGAAGACAAGAACATGTTCTTCCTGAGATGGGACAGATGCTGGCCAGGTGTGCACAGAAACTCTGGAACTGGCATCACATTTCCCAGTGCTGACAAATCCCACAGCCCTCAGGAGCCTGCAGCAATGGCCTGATCTGTCCTGGATATGGGACAAACAGAGAGGAGAAACCTGCAGGCCAGACTGACCCTTTGCACCTGGAATTTACACTTAGGAAAGGCCAGACTTGGCCAACAGCTATTCACCTTCTGTCAGGTCACCCCAACACAATCTTACCCCCTCACCTTCCCACTTTTGCCCTGACTTGTGCCAGCATCAGTTCTATTCCATGCTGCAGACAGGATTTATAGCATTCCTTGGGCTAATCTATGCCATGCCTGCTTTGGCTACTGAGTTCAACACTTGAGATTGAGGAGGAACAAGCAAAGTATGTCATATTAAAGGAAAGAGGCTGCACAGATTTTAATTAACTTTAAAGATCCAAGAGAAGCAAGACAAAGGAGCCATGCAAGGAGCAGACCTTAAAAAACACAGAACTGTAGAATCACAGAGTATTCTGAGCTGGAAGTGACCCACAGGGATCATCAGCCTGACTCCTGGCCCTGCCCAGACACACCAACAATCCCATCCTGTCCCTGGGAGTGTTGTCTGAACTCCTGGAGCTCTGGCAGCCTTGGGGCTGTGTCCATCTCTGGGGAGACTGGGCAGTGCCAGCCTCCTCTGGGGAAAAGCCTTTTCCTAAAATGTTCATGTAAACTGCATTGAGCCCTGAAAGCAGGAGAGCTGCCCAAGCACTCCTGTGCACACGAGGTGACAATGACAGTTGGGAACTACAGAGTCCCTTCCAACCCAAACCATTCAGTGGTTGTGTTATTGAAACCTGTGGCAATCCCACCACACCAGCACTCCAGCGACACCCACAGCAAAACCCTGAGAGCTTTGTGCTTTGAAAGACTTTGGGACAAATGGCCCTGGCCGGTGGGGAAGCCCCGGGCTGTGGCTGACAGAGATGTGCACGAGCCAACGATGCCATCCAGAGGTGCTCGGGTGCAGCACAGAACTCTGTGCCATCAAAGGCTAAAGGGAAAGACAGGACCTTTGTATATCCTATATATCAGATTTTAAATTAACCCTGCCACCAAATAATTACATTTTGTTTATTTGTAATTTATCCTGCCCATCGCTTGTTTATTTTCTGTCTCTCCTCACTGTGTGCCCTGATTTTCTAAGTATATTAAATAAGTCACTCTAAAAAATATAGATACACCTCTGACCTCTCCTGGCAAACAGGAGTTATTTCATTTTACTCCCAGTTGCTGAGAGCAGGCCTGGCATGACATGGGGAATTGAGAGAGACTGTATTTCATTGCTCTGCAATAGTGCCTGAGTTGAGGAAACAACAAGCCCACACTGAAACAGGAACACAAGCTTTGTTCCCCATCTAGAACAGCTGGCGACTCCCTTTCAGCTGTGAAATCATGACTCAAACTTGATACAAGAAAATGATTTTCTAGCATATGATTATACATATTTATGTGTGTTTGTGTACACAGAGTTTATGTCAGCTGCCTGAACAGTGTGGATGCAACATCACCTGGGGCATATTTGATGAGGCAAAGTATGGAACAGGAGAGATCTGGTCAGTAGCAAAGACCTAATTCACCTTTGTTAGCAAAGATGCCTTCTTCGCTGGCACCTGTATCTGTGTGGCAACAAAACGTAGATTTGCAAAGTGATCCCATTAATATCAGAATAAAATCAACCACTGAACCCTTATTTTCTCCATTAGGAACCTAATGGGATTAGGATCATAGAAAGTCCTGAGTTGGAAGGGACCTGCATGGATCATCAAGTCCAGCTCCTGGGACTACAGAGATTACAGAAAAGTAATCCCAAAAGCACAAACTATATAATTACTTTTTTAATCTTTGGGATTTCCCAAGCTTTATTCAGATACATATCTGATTTTTAGATATACAAACTTAAAATTACAGAAAATGCAATACACTTGTACCTGACTTTTCTCCTCATAAACCATCACTTACTGGTCCATTGGAATTAAGGCACAGGGTATTATTTTATCACCTTACACAAATTAAAAAGGAAAATTGAGGAACAGATTGACTTGAAAACAAACAAAATAACTTTTCAGATAGGTAATGGCAAGCAGTATTTTCATGTGCTGTATCCCTCCCCAAAGGAGCATCCTTCTTTTACAGTCTCAGTATTTGAAAGTGAAGAAAAACTGTGAAAATACAAATGACATCAGATGACAGAGGGTGCGGCTGAACCATACTACAAGGAGGCATGGCTCTGGGTAAAAGGAGATGGTTAAAACAGGATTTTGAGTGCTGGGATCAGAATGTCACATGGAGGGACAGATCCCTGCACTGCACTGGAGTCACCTTGAGCTGACCTCAAACCTAAGCTGGCCCAGGCAGCTGTTCAGCACTGGGACATGTCCTGTTCAGGGGTGCACTCAGGACCCCCCTCAGCAGCTGCACTTGTGACAGCTCAGTGAGGACACAGGACCCTGGGGACATCTGCACAAGGAGGGGTTTAGAGGCCATTCAGAGCATCAGAGATCCTGCAGGATCCTGCACTCTGGGAAGGTGAGAGCTGGAGAAGCAGCTCTCGTGTTTCAGGCACCTCGGTGCTGAATGTGTGTCTGGAGGGAAGGGCAGACATATGGAGCCCTTCCTAAAGCTGTGGGAGATGACCCACAGGAATGGCTGAGTCAACAGTCTAATTTTATAATCCTAACCCTGCCACAGGTTTCAGACACATTCTATATCAAGTGTACAACACTTTCATGTAGCAGCAGCAGGAAAAAAAATAAGCAAACCCCAGGAAATACACCAGTTCTTATGTGCTGTGATGAAAAAAATACAGCAGAAATTTAGCAGAAAGTATTTCTTCAAAAGATCAAAGACACTCTGTCCTCCCTTTCCTGCTACTTCCACACAGCATTTTCCTAAAAGAAAATACCACCATGCACCCAAATCTCTGCTGCACAAGGAGGTGCTTGGGCAGACACCAAATGGAAGCCTACACTGACACCAAGGAGAAAGGATGTGAAAAAGGCATGGAAAAAACCTGGCCTTGTGGCTGTGATTGGGATGCGTGCACTGACCTGTACTTGCCCGTCCGCACCTGCAGCGCTCTCATCCCGCACTGCTGGGCTCCCCCAACATCATTCACGATGTCATCCCCGATCATGATGGCCTGTCAGGGCAGTGAAATACAGGAAAAGTTCATTTCTGCCATTTGTCACCCTCCCCTGACATAACAAACAGCTTGATTTGAGGTGTAATGCTGCTGTCGGACAAATTAAACAAGATAATATTGTCATCGTATTGATTAAAAGTCATCCTACCTCCAGGGTAATTCATGCCAGAGCTCCTCCAGCAATGGACTGGCACAGCACACACCTGTGCAATTTGTAATCAATCACAGAAATCAAAGGGATTTGGGACACAATTGAAAGAAAATGGTGATTTTTATGAAGTTAGGCCTCCTCTGTTCCTAACAATCAGTTCCTGCTACACTCCAAGCAGCTTAAATTAAGCTTAACTTCTTAAATCTGGTGTTCTACAGGCTGGTCAAAAGCTTAAGCTTGTAATCACTGCGAGCTTGATCCCAACCTGTTCTCAGGTTGATTCAGAAATTTGGGAAATCACTGTAAAATGGACTTTACTCATTTTTGCACAGTATGACACGACGTGCACAGGCCTAGCACCATTTATGTTACCATCAGTTTAAGTATAGGCCAATATTAATAAACAAAAGTGAGTAGATTACCAAAAAAGTAACTGTTAGTGCTAAGATTTGTCTGGTGTTGGATAAAAAAATGCACAGAGAACCTTCCTGCCTCTGTTAAAGATATTTAATTGATCACAGTATATCAACCAAGGGGTCCTTTCTGTTGACTATCACATCTACACAATTCCAATTGCTTATCATCCTGCATTACCAATTATTCTATTTATTCTATTCTTCAAATTTAAAACGATTGGGGGATGCCATTTTATAGTTTCAACAAAACCCAGTGCATACACAAAACAGTAATTTTCCATTATTGACTTAACAAATCAGCTTTACACCTCCCAAAGATGTTCTGGATTATTCTGCAGAGGACAGAGGCAGCACCTAAAACTGGGGAAGCACAGATTTGAAAGTCTGCAATGTGGTTTATCAATCAGACTTTTTTACCTTTTGTATTCAAGTTGAATTTTGTCTAATACAGAGTTAGTTGAATCTTTGGCCATTTTATTTTCATCTTTTAAATCATCTTTTTGCTTCATAAATTTCACAACCATGGTGCCTTCCAGCTCCAGACATTCCTGCCTGAGTTTCCATCCCTTCTCCAGTTCTGTTTTGCTTGAGAAAGAATAAAAATACTAAATCTCCAGAGCTATTTTATGAATTAACTTAATTGCAACAGGATCTTCTCCCACATATTACATTGCATGTAAAGGAAATCTTGGGATATACCTAAATTTTATGAGAGGATTCATAAACCAAACTGAGCTACAAATGTGAAGATCCGGGACAGTTTCTCCTGTAGATATCTCACCTTTCCTTAGTACTCTTCCAAACCAGCAATTCAGCATGAAATGGGGAGAAAATGATGGGTTAGATTTAAGTAATTAGCAAATAAAGCATGTTAATGTGGATGAGAAAAGAGAATAATGCCACTGTGGCGTGCAGAGCTGCAAGAACCTGGCAACACCATCCCCAGCCAACCTCCATTACCAATTCCCCCTGAGCTGCTCCTGGATATTAAATCATTCTCAACCATTGGCTTTAAGAGATTATAATTCCTTTTTCTTACAACCATTGGCTTTAAGAGATTATAATTCTTTTTTCTTACAAAATTCCTTCCAACACCTCCCTGAGGGAACAGACCTGCATCACCTGCATGCCCCTTGCTCAGCCCAAATCCCAACATTCAGGATATAAAGCCAATTTCAGTCCTGAGTCCTAACAAGCCTAAAAACAATCTCCTCTGACAAAGGAAAAGGGCAGAGCAGGGCAGCCCACCAAGCACTCTCCTGCTCAGAAGGGCTGTGTTTTACCCCATCCAGGGAAGTTTTCCTGCAAGACTCTGGCAGAAGTGCAGCTGCAGCAGAGCAGCGATGCCTGTCCAGGCCAGCTTGTGGCACACGCATACAAAAATGTGCTCCAGCCCCCAGGGATTTCACAGATTTACTATCGGTGAAGGGCAATAATCACTAAAGGAGGAGCAATTATTCCCAAATCATTTAGGATTTAAAAAATCATTGGCAAGAAGATAGAGGTCAAAAGGTGCGCTGTCAAGGGAAATAAAAAAACTCTACCTGTCAAACCTGGGTTTAACTTCCTCTCTGACTGCAATATGGTAAGAAGAGAGAGAAAGATATAAAACTGAAAGGTCACATAGCCACTGAAAACAGGAATTAAAAGATCTCCATTCATGTTCACATTTTACACAGGGATCACACCATTAATCTGTTCAATCCTTCTGCAAAAGTTACTTTTTTTAGATTGGCTAGAAATTAACTAAAAAGAAGGGAAAAAACCACAGTGAGTCTCTCTGGGTTTTAAGACAAATCATCAAAGAACTAGGATGGGTGTAATTTCTATTTCACTAAGATGGTGAGTGGTGGTGTGAGGCTGTACACACACGTTAAGTAAAGCACATGTGCCAAAGCTGAGGGAAAAAACACTGCTCTCAAAGGGTTCCCATCAGACTCAGCCCAGAGGGGCAGAGAGAACACAGGAGGTCAACATGACCCCCAGGAATTTGGGGTGGAAAGGCAAAATTTAACCCCCACAGTCAGCAATGACACTGGTGCTGCCTGTGCCACATACCCTGAGCTGAATGCAGGTAAGCAGCCAAAACGAATAAATCTTTAGAGATTTTTGGGGTGGTGAGTGAGAAGCTCAGGTAGTTTTTGTCTGCAAACAGAGTTTTAGCATTCATTAACTGATCACAGAAAGATGTCTGATCTGAAAAGGAATTGCAGAGGAAGGAAATGAGGGAGGCAGAAAGATGAGAATGCTCTGGTTTACCCAGCCCTGCTCATGCTGCAGGCAGTGTTTACCAGGACCAGCTCAGATGGGGGATTTTGGAGGCTGGAGCCTCTGCAGGATGCAAACAGACAGGCACAGAAGGCAAGAAGGCAGTGTGCTAACTCCACCAGAATATTTAGCATAGAGAATTCTTCTAGAGTCAGACATATTTATGCCTAAACAGATTTTTGGCTATAAATTTAATAACCTTAATCAAGCTAAATGTGCCAGGACCATAAGGAAATAAACTTGTACACCAAACTTCGATGTATTAAATCCCTTTACACGAGAAATACAACACATTTACTTTTCTCCCTGCTCTCCTCTGCCCAAGGACTAACATTTCATTCTTCAGGATCTCAGATTACTGTTAATTTTGTTTCTATCTTAGACCTCCAAAGGTGCAGGACAGTTCTCAATAAACTTTCAGCTGGACTGAAGCTTGGGACTTCCCTTGGCCAGTTTTATTTTGGGAAGGAAGATCTTGCCCTGTTGTGAGCATGGGTGATGCTGGCACAGGAACAGGTCCCCTGTGCCACCCCTGGGTGACCTCTCCCTGCTCTCATGCACCACTAACTCCCACCTGAGGCTTGCAGGTGGCAGGAATGGGAATTGCTTAACTACCAGTAGTTTATGGACTCCAGTACGACCTGCCATAACTCCCATTAAAGCAGGATAATTTTCTACAGAGAGAACTTTTTATGATTATATAAAACTACCAGAACCTTAACATTATTTAGGTTTTATTGTAAAGCTGTAAAAATCATCCACTGTTACAGCTGCCTTAAAACACGTGAATTAGGCATTTCAGTAACCTTTAAGATGTGTTATTCTTTGTCATAGTACTGAATTCTGAGATAGGTCTGGTTACCTCTAAGAGGTTAAAATTTCCAATCTATTAAAGTAATACTGGCAATATGTTATTTCTAGGCCATTGAGGAAAGGTTAAAATGAAAATTGGACTTTAGGGAGTTCCTCTTATTCTAAGTGCAGGCTGAAAACATCTCAGCAGCAGAAGGCAAAGTCAGGGTCTCAGTAAGAAGCAGTTATCAAGGGAAACGACTGGTGATAACTTTATTGATTAAAGCAGCTTGAGGAATTTCAGAATTGCCACTGTCTCAAATTACTGTGGTGAGACAGCTTTATTAAAAAGGTATTTTTCATTAAAAGCCAAGTGAAAGAAAATTGTAATATGTTGTCAAAAGCACAGATCATCTAAACTGGTTTAATGATGATATGGATTAAATGCAGTCCACAGGTAAAATAAATTATTGGAATAAACATTTTGTAAAAGCAAAGGCAAGCAAAACAGCCCCTGTCACATTATTACAAATGCAGAGTTCATTCAGGAGACAGAATAAAATGTAATGCAGTGCATTACAGGAACTCACTGAAGTGACTATAGTGAGGTTCTAAACTGAAAATACTGAGGTATTTTATTACTGTGTACCACCTGGACATTAAAGTTGTGAGGTCAAGCACTCAAAAGTTGGGAAAAGATGTCAGAATTAAGGCAGTTTCCTGGTTTTCAATTTGTTCCTCCTACACATGTGTGAAAAATGATCCAGGCTTTAACTCCAGCAGTGTGGATTATTTTTTCCATGCTGGAAAGCATGGAGTGACTGGTGCTGTTATCTGCTGTTATCCAGTGGTGTCTGCTGCACTCCTCCTTGGTTAGGCACACACACACTCCATCTCCAAACTCTCCAAATATAAAATATTATACCTACAAACTAGACATATCACTACAACAGATTGATGGCATTTAATATTAATGAAAAATTAAGATATTAAAATATTAACTATAATATAAAGGTTAATATAAAATATCAACTATATGAAAAAAGCCAAAACTCTGACAAAATATAAAGTTAGGCATGAGTTGCAAACGTGGCAAACAGTGGAGAATGAATAAATAATTTCTGTGAGGACTATTCCTGCTCGAGGAATAGTTATTTCCTGCTATTTCCTACTACAAATACTCTAGGAGCTGATGGGAACCCTCACTAGGGCTCACCCTGTGGCATTTTTGCCAGCCTGGTGATGCATTACATCAGATTTGTTTCCTGGGGCAAGGATTTAGAGATGAGCTCTGCACCTGGGATATTCCAGGGATAGTCCAGACTGGGTTATCTAATTGCTGGGAAGATATGGACAGACTGAAGGGAGTATAGAAAAAAGCAGGGGGACTGCATGGAGGGAAGCAGAAGAACTAAACCACACACTTTCAGTAAAAAACAACTCCTGCAATGATAATAAGTCTAGAGATAAATGGATGGAGAAAATACCCAGGAAGGCAAGCAGTGATTTTGGTTGTTAACTGGAGTAAAACTAGAAATAAGGAGATGCAGTTTAAAAGGGAAATATCCTGATAAATCTCAGGAAAAGCTGCCTTCCCACAAGTCCCACTGGGCTGAACACTATTCCCAGGGTACTGACAGTTGTTTGGCTCTCTGGAAACCATTGTGGACAAAACATTAATAACCATGGAGCAGGGAACATTCCTGCATGGGGAAGGAGATGGATTAGATGGCCCACTAGGTCTTTTTTCATCTCCCCACTCTATAATAAAGCAAAACCCAAGCACATGCTGAATTACAGGGTCATCATTTCATCTTCAGGCTCCAGGGACCTACAAGCCACACCAAACTTCACTCCTGTTGTTTATAATGCCACCCAAACCCCCCTGATGGAATTACTGTGCTGTAATTCACTGCTGTTTGTGAGGCTTCTCATACTCATCCTTATGTCCTGGGTGACAGAGCAACAAATCAAGGAAGAGGAGCTGGGAACAACTCCAGAGAGGGGGAAAATGGGATGCACTGAGGAAGCACAACACATTCAGCATGTTTCTGGAAAGCCAGAAATACAGGAGGAGGTTTTGGGGTCAGTCAGTGCTTCCTAGTCACCAAAATTATAAAATATTTTACTTCTGCCTTTCCCTTTTACTAAAAAAAAAAAAAAAAAAGGTAGTCAGTGTGACAGCAGTGGAAATAAATGACATTTTGGGATCAATTCCATCACCCTGTAGCCTCCAAGCAGATGCCAGGCATTAGGGCACCTGTTCTGCCTCTGCCAAGCATTGAGTCCTGGTCACATTCTCCTTCTTCAGCCTCTTCTGTAACTTTTCAAAGCTATAGTGAAGCAGGAAATAAACACCAGTGGGCACAAATACATGGCACAGCCTGCGGGCACGGCACCTCAACCTCACCTGCTCTGGTGGAACTCCCAGTTCTGCCAGGGCTGACTCAAAAAACCTTTTTGCTGGTTTCCCCACCACCTCGGCCTGGACATCACAAGCATACTGAGGGAAAAAACAAACAAGAGAAACACAAAAAACGTTCATTGGTAAAGGATTTGTTCAGCTCCGTAACTCCAGTTGTAAAATCTTTGTGATTATTGATTTTTGCCCTTAAATAACACAATGGATTAGCAGGTGAAGGTGAGTATCAGAGAAATTTGGATAACAGAAGTGTTTAAAGTTCTCTGGAAGGAGAGAAAATGCTCTTGAAACACCTCAAGGTACAAATCTTTCACATTCTCCATCGCTGAGTCATCTTCAAACTCAGCTCCAGTACTGCTCATTTTGTTGGGAGCATCACTCTTAAGAGACATAACAAATATCCTTTATAAAAAACTATCAAGAGTACTGGAGTGCCTTAAAAGATACAGAGAATTTCTTCAACCACCTGGCATAATTTTAATGATGGAAGTGAAAAATCGAGTTTCAAATCTGGGTTTTGGAAAGTTACATTTGAAAAGGCAGATTTTAGAAGTTACATTTTCCTGCAACTAAATATCAGTGCTATGCTGAAAAAAATTGTTTCTTGCTTGTTCCTGGACAAAAAAAAAGCCTAACAGATTACATGGACCTTCAGGTTTTCCTGGGTATCTTGCACACAATATTCCACTTTTTTCTTGTCTGACGACTCCTTTCAAGGGCCTCACTTGCAATAAAGATGGCACAATGGAAAAAGTGCATAGTTTAGGTAAAACAAATTTAAACCAAAAAAAAAAACCCAAACAAAGGCAGAAAATAAATGAATCCACCCATCTTTAGAATGCAGCAAATGAGTTTGAATGTGTGGGAACTCCCTCCACCAAGGTGAGTAAATACAGAAGATGACCCATATTTATCCCAGGTACTCTTTTAACAAGGTGCACAGGACGAGTAAGCATAATTCCAGCTATAAAATACCTCTAATGCCTTCATATATGCTCCAACATCAAGTTTCAGACCATCAGTTTCTTTATAGTAGCGTCTGGAAATGAAAGTGATAAAGTTCCCATGAAATGAAAACACTGGCAATTAAAGACAAAGAAACCACATTTTATTATTTCTGGGCCTTTATAGATGTCCATATGGCTGCATAAAAAGTCAAGTAATCAGAAAATCCCGGGCCTTGGTTTAACAGCAGGAGGAGTTAAGGAAAGGACAGGCTCAGGACTGTGCAGTGCTCAGGGAAAGGATCCCAGATGGCCTCTGGGAACAACTTCACTGCTTCAAAGGGATTTCAGTGTGCTTAGACCAGGGTGGACTGGGCTCTGCATTACTGCACAGTGACAGAGACCCCCTGGCAGCTAAAAGATGAGGGCTGGCACCAGCCAGCAGCTGGTCCAGACAGGACCATCATTGCTGTCTCAGCCTCCCACAGGAGAAAACCTTGTTCATCAGGACTAAGAAAGCCCTCCATGCTGAATTTTGTTCCTTCTAAAATGCTCCCATTGCCACGAAGCTCATGTAATTAGAAGGTGTCTTTAGAGAGTTTTTTTTCTGGAACAGCAATTCACATTCATGCAGGTCTTCCAAGCTCTGGGCAGAGCTAAGGCAGGTTTCTATATGACAGGAGAAAAGGTAGGATGAGCAGTCAGCTGAGATTTTATGCCTTATCCTTCTGCCATTTTCAATTATTCAGCATAGCCTTCCTTTAAAATGACCACTTGACCTTTGCTAGAACAGCCATTAACCTTCTATAGTCTGGTGTAAACAGCTTAATTTTCTGACAGTGGCATGACAGAAGAAATTACAAAGCCAATTCCCACTCTCAGCCCAAAACAGATGCTAAATGTAAATCACTCCATTTCCAGGAGCAGGGCATTCTGCTTCAGTGACTCTGACACTTCTGTTTTCTATGGAATGAACTAAAACTTCTACCAAAACCAACCTGCTGGCCCAAGGCAGGCACCTTGGCAAGGTCCACCCAGCTGTGCTGGTTCTGCAGGTTAAAAATGAAGCTGGGTTTTGTATTTGGCCCTTTGCATCAACGAGGCTTCTCCAGTCAGGAGAACAGCTCTTATAATTTATAATCATCCTCCTTCAAGTCAGAGAACTCACCAGAGAACTTGTATTCCCATTACCTCAATGATCAGCCATTAAAAAGCAATATGCTCTTGGTGCAAACTGAGCTCTAAATACTCTAAAATCTTTATATTTTAACAAAAGATAATATTTCAAAGAAGTAACAAGAAGGAGCCATTTTTATCAATGAATGACCAAATAATTACTTTTACATGCACAGGGTACAAAACATTTTTGTATTGATGACAATACAGTTCCTAAGCCAAGGTTGTTTCTATATTTAATTTTGAAATACAGTATTATATAACAAAATCTGATTATTTTATTTACATTATCCATTCTCCTGTTGGTTCAACATTTTCTCCTTATCCTTCAGAGAAACAGTAAGGATTTTTTCACCCCTGTTGGAGGATTAGAGCGTGAGTGTCAGGTAAGGCAACACAATGAATTTAACTGCTCCTTCCCACTGATAAGTTCTCCCCAGCTGGATCAATAACCCACAAGCTAAGAAGGGTTTTCATGCCCATTACAGTCTATTGAACCACTGAGCAAAGTTGTCACTGCACTTTCTCCAAGATAAACATGCACAGTCTCTTTTAAACCCACACATCACACAACAGATAAGAATAACTTGCTGGGGTTTGGCATTATTCAGCACAGGAATTAAAAATGTCCTGTTTAAAATCTCAGAATATATCTAAATTAATTATTTTCAGGAAAACATTCAAACTCCTTGACTGGATTTTTTCCTGTGTGTGAAAGCAGGAGGTCAAAATTTACCTTTAATGGGCAGAGAATAATTAAAAATGCTGTCTGACAAATGTCCTGCCACTTCAGGAGCACCAAAACCATCAAATTGCATCACAAATCTACACCAACAGCTCTTCACACAAGCATGGCCTCTGGAAATTTTAAGCTTTTTTCACGATGAAAAATTATTTATATTCAGAGAGGAATATGTGGCTACAAGGCAGCAGTTAAACAACACTTCACACCTCTGAGACACTAAATACTCACTCACTTGGGGGCCACAACATCAAAATCCAAACTCTCCATGATTCCTATGAGGTTTTGAGGCTCTCTTAAAGCACCAGAAGTTCTCATCATTGACAGGCACCTGATCAGATCAGGCTCTCAGCCCAGGCACACAGATTAAAAATTGAAAAGTTGGTACTGGGAGTGCCCACACTGATTTCTGTCCTCCATTAAAGATATTAAAAAATGCAGACTTGAGGAAAAATCAGAGCTTAACTCACCCTTTTCCAAGGGAGATCAAGACAGGCTTCTCCATCCCAATCAGAAGTCGGAAAGCCTCATTCAGGTTTGCATAGGTGAAGTTTTCTGCTGCATCTCCAAGAACCACACAGTTTGGGTTTGTCTTATCAATCTCAGCAAATTCAGGGACAAGATCTACAGAAGGAGGAAAAAGACAAAAAAAAAAAATAAATCACAAATCCCTCACCATTTTAGATCCCATAGAAGCAATGGTATTTCCCCAGATTTGTGCTTCCCTTTATTATAATAAGTGAAAAAATAAATAAACCTCAGTCTGAATAAAGTGCTCTTCAGACACCTATTCACCCAAAGCAAAGAGGAAAATAGAGCATTTCCCTTCCCTCCCTGTGTCCCCAGTGCTGTCCCACCGTCGTGCACCAGCAGGTGTGGCCTCAGGCCACGCTCCTTCAGGAGGCGACAGGCGGCCGGCGCCGGCGCGGTCACTTCGGCCACCGAGATGTCAAAGCCCATGGCTCGCAGCTTCCTCACAAAATTCTCCCGGGTCGCTTGGGTTTCATTGGTGCAGAGCTGCAGCTTCAGCCCAGAGGCTTTGATCCTGTGGAGGGAAGGCAGCAGAGAGGTTAAGAAGATGAAGAAGATGAGGTAAGAGTGTCAGTTCTGCTAAGAAGGTGAAGATGATATATTCCAAACCAGGAGCAGGATCCTTTGCTGTGACAGGGGGCACCTGAAATCCTGACTCTGGGCACTGCAGTGCCAGTTAATTCAGTGATATTTCATCAACACTGGGGTGGATCCAGTCACATTTATCATTAAATCTCTCATAAAACAGCTGTGTTGTTAGTTGCTGGATAATCCTGAAAAATCACCACTTTAACTGATTTATTAATAAATGTTTATAGGTAAATGGCTTCTCAGGATAAGGAAACACAGCCACGAGTGTCCAGAGCCAAGGACACGGCTCCTGTGGATTGGTACTCTGCAAAAGTTGTGTTGTTCCACCATACCAGAAGTGTCCAAGGCCAGGTTGGATGGGGCTTGGAGCAGCCTGGGATAGTGAAATGTGTCCCTGCCCATGGCAGGGGTGGAATGGGGTCTTTAAAGTCCCCTCCAGCCCAAACTATTCTGTGATTCTGTGAATCCTCTGCAAGCCCTCTGCCTCTGAGCAGCTTTACTTCCCAAGCTGGAGACCTGCTGTGGATGTCCCCAAAAAGCCTCTTCCCCAAGGATGAGCTGTCAGCTGTTTGGAGACCCAATATATTTCAAAGAGGCCACAGAAAATTGGAAGTACTGAAGATGCACCACAATTAAAAAAAAGCCAACCAAAACCATCTGCCTAAGGGAGTGTCACTCAGCTCCTCTAATATGTGAAAATGCCTACTCTTGTCAGTTTTCATGTGAATTTGTGCATAATTATCTTTGAGGACTTGAGCATATGCAGATTCAGATATTTAGGTAAGTCTGGAACCCAGCTTATAAATTCTTACAAAAATATTGTGACTCTTCTTTGTATTAAAATGAAAAATGACTTTTCTATTAAAGGAAGTCCCTGCACTGTTTCTCAAGACAAAAAAAACCACACTGGTCCATTTTGTAGGTGAGATTATCTCAACTGGTTGGTGCAAACACCAAAGCCACCTCGAGACAACAGATCTGATGACGAGCTTTCCATCAAAGGATTCTTGGAAATCTGGTCCTGACCCAGAGAGCCCCTTCTGCTTGTCAAAACTGCACACCAGTGTCTTCTTTAATAATGCTGGTGATTCATTTCTTTCTTATTATTTGTCTTTCCTAATCATAGATATGTGAATTATCAATTACACTTAGTGGTTAATTGCCCTTCATAAAGATAGCTTTTCTCTTTTAAATTAGGCAGTTAATATATTGTAACTAATAGCATCCACTTGTACATTATAAATATATCTTCATTGATTGGAGCACTGAATGTGAGATTCACTCTCAAGTTAATGAAGCAATTGAGTGAAGAAGTGCAGGGCGTACCGAGGGAATAATTATTGTTAATGAATTATGATGTGACCTTCTCAGAACAATGAACAATTGGTGTGACAGTGGGATGACAATATTCCACATCTGTTATTCGAGACACAGTTTCAGCTGGAGTTAAAAAGAAAAGCAGTGTAATTTGGATACACAACAAACTTTAACGGAGTGTGCCATGGTTAAAAAGAATTATTTTAAATGCAAAGCTTCCCTGCACACTCTTAGGGTAAAAACAAAAATCCCAATGATTCACAACTGCCTGGAAGCAGACATTTGTTGAATTAGAATCTGCTTTTTCTCTTCCTAAAGGTCAACATAATGAATCCAGGGACAACACCAACCACAGACCTGCACAGACAAACCAGCACCCTCACAGGGCAGCCTGGTGAAAGCACAGATTCTGTTTTCCTGTACTACAAACTTCATTTCTTTCTCAGCATTTTGGATGAAAACCAGAGTGATGCTTCTGAAAGGACAGAGCAAAGCAGGAGGGGTCTGGACACATCCCGGACTGCTTCATGCCTTTGTGGCTACCAGCAATTACCACTCCAACAAACTGAGCTCAGGAAATGCTCAGGATCAGGTCTACAGAGTTAGGCCAAGCTGGACAAAAAAATGGGAGTCCTCTAGTGACACATGGGAAGAACTTTTAAAAATATCCTGGAACACTAAATGAAACAAAAATCCACAAAACTCTAGAGGAGACTTATTTCTACAAAAATACCTTTCCAAAGAAAAAGTCATCTTTTCCTTCCCAATTAGCATCTGTAAACTCTGCCAAATCCTGCAGAGAACAGTCACATTCACCTGTACATTCAGTATCTCACACACACTGGGATGAATCCAGCCCTGGCTGCTCAGGGATGGTGAGCAGAGCCTGCTGGCCAGCAAACAACTCTTAACTCAGAGCTTAAATAATTAGGGAGAGCTTTTACCAACAGCTCTAGAAGGGGGGAAAGCCTGGCTCCAGTCATGTTTGCAGCAAAACTCTCGTTCAGTTTCCCTGCTCTGGCAGGCTTTGCACGTGGAGAGACTAAAAGAAGTGGCTTGAAGGTCTGTGTCCCACAGGCATGATGCTTTGCCCAGTGAGTTTCCAGGGCTGCAAAGCTTCAAGGGAAACCTCCAGCCTCTGAACCAACCCACAGCTCACACTCCCAGCAAAGCAAGGCAAGGTACTACAATTTCCACTGCTGGCAAGTGTGGGGATGTCAGGAGAAGAATAAAGAACAAGATTTGTAATGTGATGTCTTATTAGATAAAGAGCAAGGGATTAGGTACCTGCAAGTGCAGAAGAATGAGGCAGCAGGAGATGAAACACACGACACACGTTTTATCAAGATCTCCAGCGTATTACAGATTTATCAGCAGGCCCATTACAGAAGCACAGGCACACCCAGGAAACCCAGTCAATCAGGCCTTCAGCTGACTTCCACACACCGTGGCTGTGATAAAGATCCCACTCAAACTCTGCAGGCACCAGGAAAATCGATCCTGATTAGAGCACAAGGCGAGCACACGGACAGGCAGCACTGCTCTCCATGCTGCAGGGACCCAGCATGCTCCAGGTGCCTCTTGACATCCCAAGGCTGCCTCTCCCTCCATGTCTGGGGCCATCAGCAGGCTCAGCATCAGACAAATCCACTCCATTTCCAGCACCACTGCTCACAGCACTCTTAATGCCCGAGAGCAGGAACAGGGGAGCTTCACCTGAGTGAGGCAGAGCAGCTTCTGACCTTTCAGGCTGTGACAAATGCCAAACTCAGCTAAAGTGGCAAAAGAAACTCGTCAGAGCCCTCCTTGGAGGGGGTGGCAGAACAGAGATGGCAGCAGGGAGCAGATGGAAAGGCCACTGTCCCCTCCAGCTGTGCATCACACGGGCTCTGCTGCCTGTGCCTGCTCTGCCACAGAGCTGCCACTGCACACACTGGAGGAAAAAGTCACAAAAAACCCTCCCAAGCCCCAAATTAAAAGTGGACAGATGAGCACTGAGCTACACCAGCCTTACCAGAGGAGGGATTTAAGTCCACTCCAGATCCAAACAACTACTTGGTCACCCAAATGATCCCTAAATCTACAGCTGGGGCACCCACCCAGCTCTGGGTGCACCGTGAGCACCTGCCCAGGGGAGAAGTGGGTGTGAGGGGTTTAATTCCAGCCCTGAGCTGCCCCTGCCTCAGCAGCTCTTTGAACTGACCTTTACCTCGTTCTGCTGGAGCAGGACACGGGGCTGAGTGACAATGTCCCACAATGCAATTACCATGCGTCAGATGAGCCGGTCCCTTACAAATCACCTCGAACTTTACACATCTGCTGGCTGTCAGCATCTGCCAGGCTCACTCACCCGAAAATAATGAAAAAAACTCTCATTATTGCTCCATAACAGGTAAAGTGTTAGGACAATTATTGGACATCCTCACTGACCTTGTGCAGACTTAGCCAACTGCCCTTGCCAACCTTTATGGGCAGCCTTTGGGCACATAAAACACAAAACCTGTTCTTTCAGATGATGTAAAGGTTGTGACACACATAGGAAACACAATGGTCCTGGAATCCAGACTGAGAATCATCAAACTTAAATTCACATTATCCTGCACATGGCTGAAGCAACTGAGGAAAAGGTCTAAGGCTAGACTTCAGATTTCCTGTCTTCTCCCCCTGTCTCTAGAAGTGAAGTTTTTTCCCTAAGACAGGAATAGGGGGAAAGTCCAGCCCCCAGCCAGAAGTCCTGTGCAGATAGATGGGCAGTGGGGTAGAAAGCAAAACCCTGGAAGAGGCAATAAACTGGAGTTTGGAGACTGTCCAACATCAACTTCAAAGGGGTTTGGAAATGTGCTACATGAGATTTCCAGAATTGTTTTTTTATCCTGCTTTTGGTTTTTCAGAGTGCTTTGGGTTTCTTTTTAAATTTAAAAGAAAGCATGCTGAGCACTTTTTCTATTTGACTCTTTTGCATCAGTGAACAAATATAGGTGTGCTTCAGTGTAAACCCCCTCAACACTCTGATACCTTGTCTGAAACACAGGGAATAAACAGCACCTGCAACCAAACCACAAAGTAAAGCAGGACTTAGGCAGCAACATCATGCTCCCACCAGGGCAGGGCTCATGTTAGTGCCCTCTGCAAGGGCCAGGCTGCTGGTGCTCCAGGTAAAACCTCTCCCAAGCTTGCAGGTTTTTCCCAGAAGAACCTCCCAGGGAACACCACACACACCTGAGGATGGAAAAGGGTTTTCTGGCTCAGCACCAGCTCTGAGCAATAACCCCTTCTGGGGTCCAGCTGTGGAAATGCCTGGTGGGAGGAAAGCACATTTGCTCTGCTTAAAAAGTGTATTTTTGGCAAAAACGTGCTGTATTTTCTCTGCAAATCTGTATTCCTGCCATTCCAGTGGCTATTTCAGCTTCTGCAATAACAACCGGCAAAGTCACTATTTCAGAAGCCTGAAGGAGAGCATGAGTGCCTTTGCCCATTCTTACATGGTAGAAGCCTCTCCTAATTTCATGGAAACACTGAATTCCCCGGTGTTTTTTAACCTGATGGGCGCAATGGAATCAGAGGATTGTAGATAAAACTGCAGGATTTTCCTTCTTGATCCCAGCACCCAAAACTTGCCATTCCTCTGATTTCTGCCATCACAGCACATCCAAACTGCTTCACTCTTGCTGTCACGTCTCTGAAGTCACTTTTGTCCCCTGACCTCCTGGTGTTTCCCTTCTCTGATGTCCTGTCATTGGTCCTGAGAACAGCCAGGCTCATTAAAGCCCTGCTTCTCTGGTGATACAACTTTCTGCTCCACGTAGCAAGGCTGCCCTGACAAATCCTTACACACAGCACTTTTTGGCCCCAGTCCCTCTTGCATTCCTGTGCCTGAAACTCCTCTCTGCATCTGCCATCTCCCGAGCACAATTTCCTCTCCAGCCCCATATGGCTCACCTCTCTCTAAATATAGAAGGGGATAATTTGGAGGCAATCCAAAGGAGGCATTGCAAAAGGGATTAAAAAACAGGAGGGCATTACCTTTGCACATGAATAAAAGCAGATTAATAGGCACACATGAAGGAGCCACAAGAAGAGGCCAATGTTATTTAAGGGTGGGCAAGGATGACATAAGGAAGGGTACACTTATAAAAGTAAAGACTCTGGAAACACCACTTTGAGACATTGTTTGACAGTAAAAAATTGAAAAAATATCATTAAATTGCAGGTCAGAGCAAACTTTAAAAGCCATCAATGCCTTTATTTAGGTATTTTGATAATTTAGAATTTTTCAGAGGTAAAAAGAATTCTTGAAAGTTGCAAACTAAAACAAAGTCCATCTTGTCCTGAATTCTCTACAAAGGCCATTGAATACAGCTGGATACCAGAATTACTGCACAAATTATTCAACACCATAAATCATAGTCCACTTCTCTGAACAGCAGGGAAGACAACAGATTTGTAGGCAGCAATGTACCACAACAGCAAAATCTAGAATTCAGTATTTAATAAAAATAACATGTGCTTCTGAAGGGAATCTGCAGAAAGGAAGCAAAAAGCAGAATATAAGAAAAATCTCTCTCTGGTCCATTAAATTCAGTAATAAGATGCATTTAAGGTTGCAGATTACCAAATCAGCTTAATGTATTACACCAAAAAGACTTTAACCACACTGCAAGTGGTTCAATAAGTAAACTCTGTCAGACCTTAAATAGCTGGTAAATCTCCACTTTGGGAACTGTCAAGAAAAAAATCAGATCTTTGGGGATTCGGTTAGCATGAACAGGTCTGGGATGTATCTATTTGCATTAAGCAAAATATTTTTATGGACAACATAGTGAATGATACTCCAATAGCTTTTATTCTGTGCAAAAAGGTGGGGGGTGGTACATGATCTTTAAGGCTGCTTCCAACCCAAACTATTCTATGACTCTATGAAGCTGCTAAATACTCCATTAAAAATTCATTCAAAAACAAGTTATCTTTGGCAGGGTTGAATTCTCACTTTGTACACAAATAGCACCTGTTTGTAAAGAAGGAATTCTATTTCTGAGACCCTAAAGGTTAATGATGTGTAAACTCCAAAAATGCAGGCACTTACTCATGCAATTTGTGCAGACAGCAGGTGAGCACCCACAACTTTAGGGACACAAATCTTTTAAAAGAAATAATGAACACTGCTGATTAGGAAAGCAAATACAGGTTAGAAACACCCACTGCTCTCAGAAAACTGAGACCACAGCTAATGCTACAGGCTGGAGTGCAGCTGAGACAACTCTGCACCCAATGAGGATCAATTCCTGGATCCCCTTCTGGCTCTGCCAGGGAACAGCTACGTGACAATACAAAACTGCTTCATTTCTTTGTGGTCTGCTGCTTCAGGAGGGCAGTGACACCTGGGTCACTGGGCTTCTTTTGTAGAAAGTCCAAAGAGAGGAAAGTACAAAACCAAATTAACAGATATTTACACAAGGGTCTGTCTACTTTACCTGAAGGTCTCTTTCTGGGAGGAACAACTCCTTTTCTGTCAAATGCCCCAAAGGCACAGCTCAGTGGAACTCTGAACATCTGCACAGCCTGTGCTAAGCCACATTATCTGCTGTGACAACAAAGATTTCCTACTCCTCGTGGCACACACACTTCCAAAAGGCTCTTTGTGAGCTCCCAACTCCTCTGAACCCCCACACCCTGAATTGTTTTACAGTCCCAGTTCCGCTTGTTCTCCTCACAATCTTCCTCTTGTTAAACTCTCCAGGTATTTTATTTTAACAGGACTGTCCAGCTGCTCCCCAGCCTCCCTGCTCCCCAGATTTCCGCTGCCCTTTTCAAGGGCTCTGTAGAAAGCTGTGCTAACAGATGCGCTATCCCAGCCCAACAACAGGATGTTGTAAACGTCCAACTACTGTGTGCTTTTCATATGGATATGCTAATGGAAACACTATCAGCACACAGCTGTAAATGCAAATGCCAGAGCACAGGCTGAGCATCCTTTATGGGTGTTTAACCACCTTCTGTCTTGTAAGGGACCAGCTCCCTGCTATTTGGAAGATAAAAAGCAGCTAGCTCACCTCGTGTCAATGCTGTGTAAATCGATTAAGACAATAACAGCACCACACTGAGGCTCTGTTAGGGCCGGCTCCAGAAGCCTTTAAGTCACCGATGGCCTTTCTGATCTTGTCCATGGGCTTTCTGATCTGCTGCAAAGCATCTGCCAGTGAACTGCACATGCTGGGAAGAGATGGGTGGAGTTTACATAACTTTTTCAAAATAACAAGATATGCCACAGTAAGTTAAACTATCAAGGAACATTATGTCTTAAAAGTTTTAAAGGGATGAATTATCTTATTGAGCCACTTTGGGCTTTTTAGCCATCCACTGCTCTAGTATCCCCACCTAAAGAAAACAACAACAGTCCCATGAGAATTTAGAGACATTCCTGGCTCCAGGAGTTAAACCAGGGGTGCCAATACCCTTTGGCACATGAGTGCCTGGCTGCCACAGTCTGGATAAGTAACAAGGACCCAGATTCACCTTATCCCTTGAGCACAGGAAACAAGCTCTGCTCAACAAACACTCCTGTGGTTCAGCCTCCAACCCACCAACCTCTCAGACCACACTGAATCCTTCAATATTTCACAGGTATGGTTTATCAGGGCTCCAGGAACACCAGCAATAAACAAAGCATTCCCAGCTGTTACACTTAGTGCTTCATCTCAGGTTATACCAACTATCGATGCCTTGCTCAGAAGGGTCTCTATAGCACTGTGAGGTCACTGAATGTCACCTTGCTCAGGGTGTTCCAGTGTCCATCAGCTTCTCTGGCCCTGTTTCTGCTCCATCTGACTGAACTGCTAGAAAAAACAAACAAACAAGAGGGAAGCACACCTCTGCAGCCATCACAAATAGAAACCAGGCCAAATTTTGCTGGCAGAAATTACGCTGCTGCTCTCACAAACACTAACTCAAATAACTGCACAGCAGAACTCAGCTGAAAACAATATAAATAATGCAGAAAACATAGTTTTAGGAGGCCAGGATAGCTTCAGTCACAAGAAACCAATGACAAATTATTATGTTTACTTACCATTTTTATTGGAGTGTGCTGTATGTCGTTACACCAAGTTAATTGCTGTAATGGGGGTGATGATGTAGCAAGACAATCTGAAAAGAACAGGTCAGCTGTCCTGTTGTAAGAGCCCTTATCTGTACTCTGATATTTAAGGTTATTTAAGGTTTCTGCTGGACATACATATGCACTGAAAGATGTTAGCTCCTTTAGCAGAGGACCACAGCAATTTGAATTAGTTATAAGGTTCCTTGCTATCTGCAATTATGGCTCTTTAATTGATTTTAAAAAAAAAAATTGAATTAATTAAAAAAGAGCTCCTTTTAGCTTTAATCCATCTGCTTGAAACCACCCAGCTATACTGTGACGCAGACACAAATATTAATGACCAACTGGCAATAGGATAATGAGTCAATAAAGAGTTTAAATGGTGTGAGCCAGAACAATTACTAACCTAATAGGCAGATAAATAAGGCTACTTGACTTTACCCAAGGAAAATGATTATTTTTCACCACTTACATTGAATGACCTGAACAAAGTGGTTCAGTGGGGTTTTCTTCCCTCCCTGGCACTTTCCCATTCACTGCTCACCAAATCCTGCCCAAACGAGATCAGCTTTCCCTGCACAGCATTCCAGAGCATGTTGCTGGACTGCATCTCCAAACTCTCCTCAAAGACCCCTGCAGCCCCTTCCAGACAGGCAGACAGGTCAGATTAGCTGCTGAGGGCTTCCTGTGACTAACAGGCAAAAAGGGCTTAGACATTTCCAGGATTTCCAGAGAAAGCCCATAATTTCCTACATTTAGCCCAAGGCCGGAGTTTTACTGTTGTTTCATCAGCATATTTCTGATGTGACTGTAAGTTAGACTGCAGTTTATATTGCCTCCATGCAGGAGGTTTCAGCAAATGCAGTGACAAAGGTTATTAAATAACAGCCTGCAAACCAACAGAAAATGAAGTTTAAAATCTTGGAGCAAAAAAACAAAGTCAAAAGCATCTAGTGAACCACGACAAAGGTATTACTGAGTATGTCCTGGTTTCTAAAGGAATGATCTCTGATAGTATTTATGCAGTTATTATTTATGCTTGGTTTGGCTGTGCCAGGAGGCCTTGGCTATGATCTGGGCTGTCCCAGGCTGTGCTCTGCACATGCACAATCCCCTGAAAGAACCACAGGCCACAGGATTTCAAGAGAAACAACTTCTCCCCTTGCCTAGTTTCACTGAATTCCCTGGGAATGCTGCTCTCCCCTGGGCTGTCCTGGCACCTGCAGCTTCTCCCAGCCAGGTGAGCACCACAAACTGGCCAAGAGACTCAATAAGCCTTAAACTTACTTCAAATATTGCTCTCTGACATCACTGGGAACTCTGATCCAGCTGATAACATCTTCTGTGCATCCTACATGTATTTCAAGAAATATGAACAAAGACATCATTATGGAAAACAAAAAAAAAGCAAGCAAGCAGCAAACAGCTTTGTTATTACTTTATTTGGATCCTCTCCAGTTCTGCCTTTCCATGTGGTTACACCAGCATTCAGGCACATATTTAACTAAACTCATATGATTAATTTTACTGAATTCAGTATTTCTTCCTGCATATTTTTCTGCTCAATAATGCACTTGTCCCAAGTGTGTCTGTGCTGAGTGGCCCCAGAGGACAGAAGCTGCAGAGATGCTCACCAAGCGGCGCTGTCAGTGTTTCACAGGGGCTCAGAATGTAGACATTTAAAACATTTCAAGTGGGGTACATACAGCAACACAGAGTGATTTGGGTTGGAAAGAACACTAAAGTTCCAATCCCCTAAAAAGGGCAGGGACACCTTCCACTATCCCAAGTTGCTCCAAGCCCCATCCACCACCTGCCAGGTGAATCTGGATTTTCCACCGTGGGTGAGTGAAACATCACAGCCAGCCAAAAGGCTCTTCAGAAACTCACAACCACACGATCAGTACTTGTCTTTAAACAAAGTTGTCCCTGCAGCCACTGCTCTCCCCTGGCCCCATCCTGCTCCTCTGGTCAAGCAGGGCCAATACAGGCACACTGGCAAGGCAACCTAAATAATTAAAGTTAGTTAAGTTGAAGTTACTTAGCTCGTGTAGCAGCATGAGAACGACATGGGACAGCACGACCCAGCTAAAAGTGAAGGAGTTCCCTACTTGTGGGCACTGGGAGTAACTCACCAAGGCCACTTTGCTCCTGAGTCACTTCCAAGCTGGGCAATCATTAACCCCAGCACAGAAATTCTCCATTTCTGGGTTGCAAGTGCCCTGCAAGAAGATCCAGCTAATTTGACAGCAAAGTTAATCAATTTACAGAAACACCGACGTGGGTAATGTTTTAAAAATGATTACCAGGGGATAATGGCACATCTCCTGCCACACGTGCGGTGCCAACAGCAAACCCAGAACAATAACACACTAACACACTCTTCTCCCCGTCAGCCCAGGCTCTCCGGGCTCCCTTCGCTTGAACAATCCTCAGAAGCACCGAGCTGGCCCCCAAAGCTCCGGTTCCGTGCGCGGGGCTCGCACAGCACGGCGGGTGAAAAGCGCCGGGTGCCGCCCCAAGCCCGCGCTTTGCCCCGGGCCCCCTCAGCCGGGCCGCCCTCAGCCACCCGCGCACGGTCTCCCTCAGCCGAGCCGCCCTCAGCCGGGCCGCCCCCAGCCACCCGCGCACGGTCTCCC